TTCAGTTACGATAAAAGGAAGCTATAGTCTGACTTTGGTAATCCTAGCTCTTACCATTTAGTAGGAGTTCTTGATCAAACAGACAAGCTTTCCCAAATATATAGTAGATTACTTTGCTCTGTACTACTGTATAAGTGAACTGACCTAGGGTTCTGGCATGAGCTGGCACCTGGTCTGCACACAGCACAGGATCTTTCTGTGTGTGTTATTGGCCAAGGTTATAAGGGACAAAGTTGGCAGAGACATGTAGTCTAGATGTACCCTAAGATTCCCATGCTTCAGTGCTTTTCTCCAGTTCCTCCTCTTGCTGCAATGTGGTAAGATTCAATGCAAAGGGGGAGGAGTGTACAGTGGATGGGACACAATAAGCTACTCCAATTTTTTCCTAATCCGTTGTTGCCTGGGCAGTTAATCACATTACATGAACAAGGATACATACATGTTCTGTTTACACAGGACAGCATACTTACCACACAAAAATAACCACTAGTGTGACAAGAGAAACTTGAGTGCAAAATCCACCATACACAGAAAATAGAACCAATAGCTTCTAATATATTAGAGGTGTTTTCCTATTAGGAAGGAAAGCAATAGTTTTAAATCTGGGGTATACCTAAAGGAAAAAAAAACTGAAGAAAAGAAAAGGATTAAAATGTATTACAGACAGTCCCCAGGTTACGTACAAGATAGGGACTGTAGGTTTGTTCTTAAGTTGAATTTGTATGTAAGTCGGAACTGGCGTCCAGATTCAGCCGCTGTTGAAACTGACCAGCGGCTGACTACAGGAAGCCCGAGACAGAGCTCGGGGACTGCCTGTAATAAGATTCCTTGGATCTGCTTTTCCCCTGCTATTTTTTCCTTCCAGGAACCAAAAGAAGAGAAGTTCCTATCAATTGTTTCCACTCCCACTGTTAATAAGAGTTACATGAAGAAACAGAATCCCTTGCACTTGATTTTAGTGATCGGTCATAAAACTAAAAAAAAAAAAAAAAAAAATTCAAAGGAATAGTGACTGCACCCAGGGCACTGGTGACTAACCCATGTGATTAATTTTGTTCTCAAATACTTGGACAATTTTGAAAAACCAAAAAACTGATAAAAATCACAATCTATACATGGACAATTCATAAATAACAAAGAAGGACTAAAGTAGACAAATTTTGCTCCAGATACTTTTCCCTGTATCTATTCCATAAAGTGAATTTATACTTGAAGACTAACAATGGAGTTAGTGAAGGCAGTAGCATATAAAATGATACCCTTCTTGAAATGCTGTGGACTTTAATTGACTACTGAGGAAACTTTGGGGTGAGGGAAGAATTTATCCAACTATATAATTTCTATAGTATTTTATGTAATTTCCCCTTATTCATTAAGTCAAATCCATTCTTTTTTTTCCACTTTGTGGATATAATGAACACGTGTTTAAGAATATTAAAAATAACTAATGTTGACATGTCTTTTTAAATTAAAGGCCTGATCCTTTATAAATGTATGCACTTGGTTAAGAGAGGCATAAAGAGTCCCCAAATCCCTTGATCACAAATGAGAGAGGACAGGAACTTCAGACATAGATATGAGCGTGTTTTCTTAAGTTTCCCTCACAATCCCCAGTGTAGACAGTATGTCAGGGTTAGGGACACAGCACCCTGTATTGCAGAAATTCTGGGTGACACTGCAGCTCATAGTATTTAAGGCTACCTATATTACTCTAGACACAGACACAGGAGGATTGAAGAGTGGTTTAAAGCCAGCTTTAACCACCATTTTTTCCCCACTGGGTTAGACCTGGGCTGGCCCCCACCTCCATGTTTACCTGCACTTCCACGGGTACTGGAGGATCGTAGCTCTCGACCCAGTCCATAACGCTTTCCACCACTTGCATTGGTCACAAACAGCAATTCACAACCAACCAGAGCTGCGATCTTCTGCTATTTGCCGAGGTGCAGGTAAACATAGCGGCAGGCTCCCCCCCCCCCAAGAACTAACCCTGTGGGCTGCCGTTTTTTTCATTGCCAACCCTTGAATTAGAGTCACAGAACAGAATCAGACCAAATGACTGTCTGTTAGGGTATGTCTAGACTACATGCCTCTGCCAACATAGTCAATGAAGCGGGGATTTAAATATCCTCCGCTTCATTAGAATTAAAATGGCCTTCGCGTTGTACCAGCTCAGCTGTTTGTCGGCACAAACCGACAGTCAAGACGGGGATCAGTTGACAAGGAAAGCCTTTGTCGACCGATCCCTTATGCTTCGTGAAACGAGGTTTACAGGATCGGTCGACAAAGGCTTTCCTTGTTGATTGATCTCCATCTTGACTGTCGCTTTGTGCCAACAAACAGCTGAGCCAGCACAACATGGAGGCCATTTTTATTCTAATGAAGCAGGGGATATTTAAATCCCCTTTTCATTGACTATGTCGGTATGTCTAATTTACATGCCTCTGTTGGCAGAGACATGTAGTCTAGACATACCCTAAGACGTACCTTTCCATGCTTCAGTGCTTTTCTGAACTGAAATGAAATTGCATCAATTTAAGCATGTGCATTTGTATTTTCAGAACTGGGGCCTGTTACTGTAAATTCAAACTAAATGGAATAGTGGCATGTAAGCATATAAACACTTCTACTGGCATATAAACACTTGGGTGGGTTGACACATTTTCTATCTGAACTCTTCTGTCATAAAAAATTGGATTTTTGAGTAAATGACTTTTTTCATGAAAGGTGCCACTTTCCATGGACAACTTCTATATTTGATTAAACAAGCAAGCAAACAAACAAACAAGAAGCCCCCAAGCTAAAGTATTTTGATTTTGGTAAGCTGTTGTGGTGACTCATGGGAGCTGTAGTTTGCTCTCTCATGTCCATGGGTGGCCAGTACTATAGGCATAGCCTTCCCAAAATTGTCTACATGCCTACAGTGTGGCAACACAGCTTCCCTAGCCACTCTGGAAGGCTGGGACTGTGCCATAGCAGACCTGCTCTCTGGCTGCTGGGGAGGGCTGAGGCCCCAGGTCAGGGCCACAGCATGGTAGCCCTGACCCCTCCAGGACTACATTGAGATGGCAGGCTTTTTGCACAAGACGCTTTTGTCAGGAGATTTTTGGCAAAAACTTCTTGTGCAAGAGCGTGTCCACACTGCAAAAGCATAGCGGAAAAGCAATTTGCTTTTGTGAAAGAGAGTGTCCAGACTGCTTGGATGCTCTCTTGTAAGTAAGCAGTGATTGCTATGGACAGAATGGCCACCAGGGCTTTTTCCTCTTTCCTCTTGTACAAAAAAACCCCTCTTCCTTGTCCACACATGCCTTTTTGTGCAAGAGCTCTTGCGCAAAAAAGTGTTCTTCCTTGTAGAATGAGGATTACCAATTGCACAAAAACCGCTCTGATCTTTCAATGTACTTGCACAAAAATGTGCTTGAGATGTGGACACGTTGAGAGTTTTTGCAGAAAAACTTCTGTTTTTCCACAAAAACTCTGTAGTGTAGACATAGCCCAGGTGGTCAGGGAGGATTGGGCTGGGGGTAGGCAGGGCTTGGTTCCAGGGGAGGGCCTTGTGTGGAAAGAGCAGGTCTAAGGCTTGCCTTTCCCAGCTTCCTCCCATACTCTTTTCCACATTCTTTTGTATACGTAGAGCTCACTAGCCACACTAACTTTGGCTGTGTCCAGATTCAGGGTTTTTTTCGGGAAAAGTAGCCTTTTTCCGAAAAAACTTCAACTGCGTCTAGACTGCAGCCGCGTTCTTTCGAAATTAAATCGAAAGAACGCGGCTTTTCTTTCGACGGCGGTAAACCTCATTTCACGAGGAAGAACGCCTTCTTTCGAAAGTGATTCTTTCGAAAGAAGGCGTTCTTGAATGTAAATAGGGCTTCTTCGAAAGAGAGCATCCAGACTCACTGGGTGCTTTCTTTCGAAAAAGCGGCTTGCTCTTTCGAAAGTTCCGCGTGCAGTCTAGACGCGATCTTTCGAAAGAGGCTTGCAGTCTAGACATAGCCTTTGTAATACACATCATCTGGGCATGATGAGTTAAGGGGAAATATAGTCTGAGACGGAAACAAGATCCATAGGGTATAATGGAAACATGAGGCACTTCAGCTATATATCTGAATCAATAGCAGGGTTTTTTCCAAACTCTGATTTTTCAATATTTGATTTTTTTGCTCAACAGCTGAAATTTTCCATGAAAAAAATCAACATTTTCTGACCAGTTCTAATAAACTCATTTCACTTTAACATAAAGTCATTGCCAGACCTAAAGGAGAGCTCTGTGTAGTCTGAAATCTTACATCTCTCCCCAACAGAAGTTGGTCCAATAAAATATTTTTTTTACCCATCTTGTCTCTCTAAAGTCATTCTAACTCACTCAGAATCATCACTGGCTCATACTCTTGTTGGGCTTTGTTGAGCCAACACACTGGAGCCTTCAGTTACAAGGTTACCATATATTGTAGCAGGGACAATAGAGTCAGAAGCAAAAGCAAAGCATTTATGCCTGTTTACCTCCTCAACATTCTGGGGAGTGAGCCCCATGGTCCTTTGTATTTCCCCTTTATTGCAATCATCAGCCTCCTCTCCCCAAATGGGCAGTTCTGATCTCAAGTCTTGGCCCAATAATCACCCTCTAATTTCCCTGCTAAGTCCCCCTTTCCTATTAATGTGTATCCCCGTCATGAGTTTTATTGTGATATAATTTGCTCTTTCTGAGCACCTTGTTGTCTCTTTCAATGAATGCTTGTAGGCCTGTGATTCTCCATATGCATCTTCCGCCTGAAACTTACCAGTGTCAGATAGAACCAGCCACCCACAAGCTCCTTTGACTTTGATATTGAATTTGATTCATACAGCTACAACAGGGAGTGCAAGCCAGGACAGCATGTTAATTAATTTTAGTATTCCTGTACATTATTTTAAAATGTATTATTTTTCATTTTTATTGGGAAAACACATACAATCCAGATTCTCAAACCTGGCTCCAACTTTTTTGCTTTTTCCCCTGCCAGGTCCAGGAGAATGGAAATGTGGCTACAACTTTCTTCCCCTTTATTTTCCTGAGATGCATATGAGGAGAACCCAGAGCAGCTGAGGACCCAGCCCTGTTACTCAACAAAGACATTTATTTGCCAGGTTTTAGCCTGAAGCATATATAGAGATCTATCAACTGGGGCTCTAAATAAAAGCACAGAGACTACAAACATTTCTGATTGCTTTTCTATTCTTAATCATTATATTGCCATGTAGTAATTAAAAAAGCGTTGCTCAGTAAATGTCACACACTGAAACAGATGATATTTTAAGCTTCAAACACCTGGTGATCCTGTTTCCTAGCTGTATGTTAGATACTGTCAAGGTTTAATCGACTGAAGAAGAGAGAGGGAGTCCCAAAATATAGGAGAAACTCTAGGTCATGCATTTAAAATATTTCAATCACGTATTTTTACTTCTTATACACTCTGCTGTAAAGCCATTTATACAGTTTGCATAAATGTCCTTCTAAAACTAACATGTACAATAAATTATAGTAATTATGTCTCTCTCTGGAAAGTATTTGCTGTTTGTGTAAATATTAGAATGAAATGTCTATTGCATTAACTTCCTCCATCACATAGAAAGTGATCTGAGGTACAGATCTAAGAGGAAACTAGCTATCAAATATGATTTTAGCAAAAATAAGAGAACATATTTACACCTACCAAAGAGTAAGTGAACAATTTGCAGACAATCATTTCAAATGGAGACAGCAGGAAAGGACTGAAGAGCAGAAAAAAGGTTATAAGTTGTAGTTTATTACACTGCATTATCATGAAGTTTGCAAATAATAAATTATATACTTTTTGTTTTTATATTTAGATCCATTTCAGATGGTTTCTGAAATGGTCACTTTATATACATATTCAAACACACAAATTTAAACTTAAAGGCAGAGTTGATGACTAAGGCTTGGTCTACACTTAATACATGACATAGATATAGCTGAACACCCCTGTAGCACTTTAGTGTGGAAACGTACTACAACAATGGAAAAGGCTCTCCCTTTGCTATGAATAATCCATCTTTCTACCACAATAGGTAATTTCCCATGCAGGTACTCTCACCTTCTTATCACTGTTGGAGATAAGCCACATCAACTCTCATGTCAATAGTACTGATGTCACACTTCCATCTCTGTATCTCTCCTTTTTTCTTTTCTCTTCAGTCATCTGAGGGAGTGAGTGGTAGCTCATGAAAACTTATGCCCTAATAGTCTTTAAAGTGCCACTGGAATCATTGTTTTTATACATATATGGCATTTAATATTATATACACACAGTGTTTATTACTATGAAAGCTACTAAATTATATAAAAACATAACAATGAGAGATTAAACTGTGTGAAGTACTAGGCTGGGTTGCTATCAATGGAGAAGAACTGGGTTCATGGAGTATAAAGAAGTCCATGACAAATGCCATCCAAAAACTATTTTTCTTTTATAAAAATCACATTCTTCTTAAAATAGAACTGGAGTTCTCTTAACATGAGAACATTTTTCACTGCTAGTGATAACATCTAATAGTAAATTTGCAACCCAGATACCATGACGGGGTATGAGAACAAACAAGGGAATTATCAAACATTCAGCTAATATGGGTACCCAGAGAATTAATTTGTAAGCACACGGATGAAAAATAGTGATTGTTGCATAAAAAAGCCTCTGCCTGAGCTCACTAGATTTATATTCATGGATTTTCTGAAGCTACACCAAACTGTAAGGTCTAAGGTTTTAAACTGCAACTTATTGTGATCTTTATCAAACTTTGTAATTTGTGTAACTCTCAGAAATTTACTGTAAACTGCAATTTTGTAATCTTTGTAACTCTCAGACACCTTGCTTGTAACTTTCTCTAAGCTGCATTCTCCCCTGAGTGAATGCAGTGTGAATGTGTTTGAAGAAGACTGGGGACAATGGAGCACATTTCAGTGAGTCATCACAGTCTGGGCATGCTCTCTGCTGGATAAAGGGAGGTCTGGGCATGCTCCCTGATGACAAGGATGGCCATTCAGACACTATATAAAGAGAAGGAGCACATGTGAGACTCTCTCTTTTTTTCCTTCCTCTGATCCTAAGAAGCTCCTCTCCAGTGTTTTTCCTCCTGACCAGCTTCCCCAGCCATGATAGCAGACAGACCCTTCAGGATCTACATGCCTTGGCTCCTTTTGCAACCCATATGTCTGTGTAAGTGTGTGAGTGCCTGAGGGCAGGAATGAATGGGTGTGAATGAGTAAATGAATGGAGGAGTGTGTGCTTGCGTGCGTGCGTGCGTGTGTGTGTGTGTGTGTGTGTGTAAGAAAGACAGAGAGAGAGAGAGTTCTATCTTCTTTAGTTTAAACCTTTGGTGGCTGCTTTCTCCTCTTTAGTTTTACCTAGTGGAAATAAACCCATAATAGTGTAACCCTGAGTGGTCTTGAGAGAGTATATTTTTGAGGTAACAGTGATAAGTAACAGTCAACATGTATTTGTCAAGAACAAATCATGTGAAACCAAAACATCACCTACAAGGAAATACTAAAATATAGGTTTATTTAGTCTAGAGAAGAAAACTTGGAGGGGTGGGGTGGGAGATAGCACAAGGTAACTCTTCAAGTACATAAAAAGATAGTTATACAGATTAATAATACAAAAATGCCCTTACTGCATCAGACCAAAGGTGCTTCTAGCCCAGTATCCTGTCTTCAGCTAGTAGCCAATGCTAGGGAATGACACAGAAGTGAATCGTCAAGTGATGCATCTCTTGTTCTTCGCTGCCAGGTTCTGACAATAAGGGCTAGGGACATCCAGAGCAAGGGGTTGCATCCCTGACCATTTTGGCTAGTAGCCTTTAATGATCCTATCTTCCATGAGCTTAACCAATTTTGTTTTGCTCCCTGATATAATTTTGTCCCTCACAGCATCCCATGGCAACAAGTTCCATGATTTGTTTGTGAATTGTGAGAAGTTCTTTCTTCTGATTATTTTAATCCTGCTGCTTGTTAATTTCATTGGGTAACTTCTGATTCTTGCATTATAGGAAAAAATAAATTGCACACACTTCCTGATGCACTTTCTCTACTCCAGTCACAATTTTATAGATCTCTATCATATCCCCTCTTAGCCCTCTCTTCAAGCTGAAAAGTCCTAGTCTTTAAGAGAAGAGTGATTAATTGTTCTTCTTCACCTTAGAGGACAGGACAAGAAGTAATGGGTTTAAATTGCACCAAGGAGAGTAAGTAAGTATTTCCTACTATCTAAGCTAACTGTAAGAGTAATTGCACACTGGAACAAATTACCTAGAGTGGTTATGGAATCTCAGTTGATGGAGATTCTTAAGAGTAGGTTAGACAAACACCTGTCAGGGATGATCTAGATAATACTTAGTCCTACCTCTGTACAGATGACTGGACTTGATGACCCATCAAAATCACTTCTAGTCCTACATGGCTATGACTTATGGTGTTTGGCATACTAAATATAATGTATATATAAAGGCCGTGATTCAGCAAAGCACTCAAACAAGCATTGAAACATGTACCTAAACTTGTCTCCTTCCCCAACAGAAATTGGCCCATTAAAAGATATTAGCTAATCCACCTTGTCTCTGTCATTTTAACTCATGTGAGCTGAAACTAAGTAAGTTTTGAAGAGGCCTGTTTAAAAAATCTATATTCTTTGTACCTGCAATGCATTAACCAATAGTCCTGTTTCCCAATAAGCCGGTAAAAGTGTAATATCAGTATATTATTCCAAGAGAAACAGCACTGAATTTTACAAAAACAAGTATTTAAAAAAGTTATACATTTGGAAAATGGCTTTTTTACTTCCACATATAAATTACATATAGTAAATCTTCCTAGAATATTTTTCAGGCTGAGTCTGAGATGTATAGCCCATCCACTTGATGGTAAAGAAAAATATCCAATGTATATATGTATGGGTATGTCTAGACTGCATCCCTCTGTCAGCAGAGGGATGCAGATTAGGCAGGTCGACATTGCAAATGAGGCAGGGATTTAAATATCCCACGCCTAATTTGTATAAAAATGACAGCCGTGTTTTGCCGACTCAGCACTTTGTTGGCCAAAAAGCGGCAGTCTAGAGGAGGATCTGACGAGAAAAAAAGCCTTTTTCGACAGATCCCTTATGCATCCTGCAAGGAGGCTTATGGGATCTGTTGAAAAAGGCTTTCTTTCTCAACAGATACCCCTCTAGACTGCCGCTTTTTGCCGACAAAGTGCTGAGTCGGCAAAACGCAGCAGCCTTTTTATGTAAATTAGGTGCGGGATATTTAAATCCCTGCCTCATTTGTAATGTCGACCTGCCTAATCTGCATCCCTCTGCTGACAGAGGGGTGCAGTCTAGACATACCCTATGATATAGAGTCATTGTCATCTATGATTAAACTCCCATCTTGCAAGAGCTTTGCAGATGTATTAGTGGCCACCTACATAAAGCTCCATTCAGAATTTGGCCCATATGTTACAGTAACATCTCAAATCTTTCTGAACATAAAGCCAGACGTACCCCTTGCCTCAAAGACTAAATTATCTAGAAAGATATCTGCTGTATGCTAACATGTGGCACACAAATCACATTCTGTCTTTGCAGCATCTTCTTTTTGACCTTTTCACAACATGTGGAATTCTTAACACTACAAAAGACATTGCAATGATTAAGTAACATTAAAATAAGCTGTTAGATACATTTCATCAAACAGACTTGATGCAAGGGTCTGACATAAACTTTATTGTGACAAAGGCATTATGCCAAAAGCAATGCACATTCGCTGTCCCAGTGTCAAGTAAGATACATATTCTTACAAGAATTCTGTCCAGTTTCCTGGCAATTGAAAAATAGTGGGAAAAGTTCAATGTGTCTTTTGAGTCACCCAGTAATATTTTATGATTGGTAATGTTTAGTTCAGATTAGATAACCACCAAAAAGTTCAGTTGCTTGTGTAAAGTTTGCTGGAATCTCAGGCAAGCAGTTTGAAGGCTCCCTTTACTTTTCTGTCCTCGGGTCGTTTGTCACCTCTGTTCAGCTCCTTCTTTCTCCAACATCCTTTGCCAAACTCCATATTTTCATTTCCTTCTCTCCCCACCCCCCCAACTTATGCCTTAATCAAATTGGTCTTTTGACCATTTTCTCCTCCCAGTCCATTACAGGGCCTTCTAATATTCTGATTTTTCCTTCATTAACTGAAACAGCCTATCTTACTTTTGACAAGACCAAATCAGAATGCCAAGGACAAATCATCACCTGCTGGAAAAATCTGTTATTTTTTCACTGACTTTATGCCAGCTAAAAAACTGCCCTGTCAGGTATAATCAATTGTTCTTGTAAAATCCTGCTAAGCCTCCTGGGAGTCAAAATACAATGCCACTTCCCTAAAATCAGGGAAGTCCCATCCCCAGATGTGCTGAGTCACTATGTATGGTTTAAATGACATTAGGGGAAACTATTCTCATCCCAAGGAAAAAAAACCCGGTTACTTACCTTCATAATTGCTGTGCTTTG